ACAACCCCCAATCTTTCAACCTCCAACAGCCCAGGCTGGTTTTGAATTCCTGGGCTCTAGCAATCACCCTGCCTTGACCTCCCAAAGTACTGGGATTATAGGTGTGAGCCTATAATGCCTGGCCTGGAGATTTTCTTGTTATCTTTCTGTTATTGATTCCTAGTTTGATTCCATTGTAGTGAGAGAACACACTCTGCATGATTTCACTTCTCTTAAATGTGTTTAGGTTTTGTTTTAGGGCCCAAGATATGGTTCATCTTGGTGTGCATTCCATGGGCCCTTAAATATATATATACACACACACATATATGTATTTATATATATTATATATTTTATATATGTATTATATATGCATATATGTATTATGTATATAAATATATTTGTATATATATTCTGCTGTTGGCACTAAAGTAGTCTATAAGTATTGAATATATTCTGCTAGGTGATGGTATTGTGGAGATATTCTATATTCTTGCTGCTCTTCTGTCTAGTTGTTCTATAAATTTGGGCGAAGGGCATTGAAGTCTCTAACTATATTCATAGATTTTTCTATTTCTTCTATCAGTTTTGTTTCATATATTTTGTCTCTGTCGCATTATATATGAGATAATATTTCTGTTATTGGTTTACACCTCACTTTGTTATATCACATATCTGTACACTGAAAAGCACAAAGCATTGCTTAGAGAAATTAAAGAATCACTAAACAAATGGAGATCTACACCCATGTTTATATGTCATAGGTCTTAATATTGTTAAGACTTCAGTTCTTCCTAAAGATAGATTCAACATAATTCCAGTCAACGTCTCAGCAGGATTTCTTGGTAGAATGTGCAAATATAATTCTAAAATTCATATGAAAATTTAAAAACCCAGTATTGCCAAAATAACTTTGAAAAAAGAAACAATTTGAAGGACTGATTTCAAGACTTAATATAAAGCAATGGTTATCAAGATAGTGTCTATTGTTATAAAGGTAGACAAACAGATCAATGGAATGGAATAAGAGTCAAGAAATAAACCTAAATATATTTGGACAACTGATTTTTGATGTAGATGCAAAAGCAACTCAATAGAGAAAGGATAGTCTTTTCAATAAATAGTTCTAGGATGTTTGGATTTCCATATTCAAAAAATGAACTTCAATCCAAATCCCATACCATAAGCAAAAATTAACTCAGGATAAATCAGAGACTAAATTTAAATGTAAACTTAACACTATGAAACTTCTTGAATAAAAAGAAAGAACAAAACCTTTGTATCCTTCGGTTAGGTAAAGATTTCTCAGATACAATAACAAAGCTTAGTCCATAAAATAAACCAATGTCTAAAGACATTGTTAAGAAAATGAAAAGATAAGACATCAGACTGAGAGAAAATATATGCAAATCAAATGCCTGATTAAGAACACGTATTCAGAATTTATAAAGACTGTTAAAACATATAGAAGAAAAGTTTAACTTTTATAGAAGAAAACACGTAACTGAATAAAAATGAGCAAAATGACTGACATGAACATTTTGCCAACAAAAACATATGGATGCCAACTAAGCACGTGAAAGAGTAGTTAATATCATTAGCCATTAGGAAAATTCAAATTAAAACCACAATGAGATGTCACTATACATATGAGAATAGGTAAAATTAAAAAGAGCAACCATACCATAGGAAGTTTTGGTGAGAATATGAGGGACTAGAATTTTCATACAACTGCTAGAGGAAATTTAAAATAGTACAACCACTTGGGAAATTAGTTTAGCCATTTCTTTAAAAATTAATCGTACACCTCCCATAGGAGCCCAATCATTCCACCTTTAGATATTTATCTTAGAGAAATTAAAGTTGTATCCATGCAAAGATTTGATGAATGTTTATAGCGTCTCTATTTTTTTAATAGCCAAAACTGGAAATAATCCAGTGCTCATCAACAAAAGAATGGACAAAGAATCTATATATGTCCATGCTAAGGAATTCTATTTAGCAATAAAGATAAATTAACTATTTATACATGTTACAACATAAATAAATATCAAAATAATTGTGCTGAATAAAATAACACCCACAAAACAAGTGTACATACTATATAATTCCATTCACATATGATTTTTGCAAGGCAAACTGATCTATAATGATAGAAAGCAGATCAGTGTTTGCCTTGGGAAATGTTATAGAGTCATAAAAAACGGGAGGAAAGATTTGTAAAGGAGCAGATGAAGATTTTCATTATCTTGATGATGGTGATTATTTTATGGGTGCATAATTATATCAAAGTATTGTATGCTTTCAATGATATAATTTCTTGTATTTAAATTTTACTCAATAAAATTGTTAAATATGAAAAAATAAACAGAAAGTAATAACATATTTGGTCATACTGAGAGTTTTTGAAAGCTTGGGACTTAATTAATAGAACACCAAATATGAGAAATATAAAGCAATGACTAACTAATGCAAGAAAAGCAACTGATCATAAAGTGAAATTTAATTATGATATATGCTATATGTCCCTGTTGTGAATAATATTTAATTAAAATAAAATATAAAAATAAATATTGATTTATCAAGTCTTCAGATAATCACATTAAGAGGATTGAGAAATAGTTTGTATGGATGATGGTATAAATTAGTTAAATTACACTCTCACAAAGTAAAAGGTTTATATAGTATAAGTCATAGAGTATATAGTATAGTTGTATAACGTAAATGTCATAAATCAATAACAGCATAGCTATACTATTTATTAGGTGGAAATAAATGCCAGAAAAAGTAGCCTAAATGTTTATATGTAGCTGCATGTGAGGTGGAAGAATTGAGGTTTGAGAAGGGTGGACAGGAGTCTGCTGATTTTTATTATAAATTTTGAGGCATTATTTGAATTTTTAACCTATGTACTTGTATTGCTTTTATAAAAATAAAGCCTAATTATTTACAACCCTAAGAAGTTTGTAGTTCATTATGCAATTTTTTTGACAAACATTATTGAAATTAAAATGTTTATTGCCTAAAGGAAGAAAACGTTAGTTCAGAAAAGAGCCATGTTGAATAATTCAAAGCTAAGCATTCTGGGTAACTGAAATTTTACTGTATTATTTTAGTTTTGTTCTTCATAGATTTCAACACTTCAGACTATTCTGAGATTCCTAATTCATTATACAAGGTTTATAGAATATGTGAGATTCTCAAGCACTAGAGAAATACAATTATTATTCCTATGAATGTGTCTAGTTTCTCAAGTCATAGGAAGGAGGAGGAATATTTAAAAATTGGTGCATTGGTATAGCAGTATCTGTAGACAGATATTTGAGTTCAATCTTTCAGTTTTATCATTGATATCACAGACATAGATTCCTACACTTTTTTTCTTTTTTTTTAATTATTTTTTATTATTATACTTTAAGTTCTAGGGTACATGTGCATAATGTGCAAGTTTGTTACATATGTATACTTGTGCCATGTTGCTGTGCTGCACCCATCAACTCGTCAGCACCCATCAACTCGTCATTTACATCAGGTATAACTCCCAATGCAATCCCTCCCCCCTCCCCCCTCCCCATGATAGGCCCCGGTGTGTGATGTTCCCCTTCCCGAGTCCAAGTGATCTCATTGTTCAGTTCCCACCTATGAGTGAGAACATGCGGTGTTTGGTTTTCTGTTCTTGTGATAGTTTGCTAAGAATGATGGTTTCCAGCTGCATCCATGTCCCTACAAAGGACACAAACTCATCCTTTTTTATGGCTGCATAGTATTCCATGGTGTATATGTGCCACATTTTCTTAATCCAGTCTGTCACTGATGGACATTTGGGTTGATTCCAAGTCTTTGCTATTGTGAATAGTGCCGCAATAAACATACGTGTGCATGTGTCTTTATAGCAGCATGATTTATAATCCTTTGGGTATATACCCAGTAATGGGATGGCTGGGTCATATGGTACATCTAGTTCTAGATCCTTGAGGAATCGCCATACTGTTTTCCATAATGGTTGAACTAGTTTACAATCCCACCAACAGTGTAAAAGTGTTCCTATTTCTCCACATCCTCTCCAGCACCTGTTGTTTCCTGACTTTTAATGATTGCCATTCTAACTGGTGTGAGATGGTATCTCATTGTGGTTTTGAATGAGATTCCTACACTTTTTGTGTTAAACTTGTACTTCATGTCAATAACAAGTTTTCAGCATGTTTTTTTTTTTTTTTTTTTTGCTATACCAAACCATAAAAAGAGGAGAAAGAATGATGATCATATTACCTGGGAAAGATAATAGGACCAATTCAACTCAATACATAATATGGAGATGAGAAATAGATCTGATGTTTAAAAGTCAATAAAATTTAAGAAAATAACATTGTTCTTATTACTGTGCCCCAGGTGAAGGTAGATATTTTCTGTAAGAACATTTTGCAGAAAGAACATTTTAACTAGAGATGTAGTAAAGGTGTACAATGCAATTGAGTAAGAATTCTAATAAATTAAGCAACAAATTAGTTCAAATAATGGTATAACATATGCTCCATCCAAATTAATACTCAGTGCTAAAATTTTATTTGTGTGTATTTTCTGCTTTTTATTTTCTCCATTGCCCTTGGTGTTTTGATTCGAATCCAGTTTTGTATATGCAGATTTGGTTATAATTTGCCTACTAGGATGACTTTTCTAACTCTTCTAGAAGGTCAGTAACATTAATTAGATTGTAAATGAATTACCTAGATGCATTCAAAGGGTTCTCAAAGTAAATACATTTATCATGTTATGAATTTTAGCCTCGAACCTGCATTGACTGACAAGCAGAAAAATATATAATTATGCATTATAACCTCAAATTACCAGCTTTCTACATGGGTCTGGCTGATGACAGAGGCTCAACCAGTTGGCATCAGCCAGCCTCTGTCTGCAAACTATACATGGGATCAACAGCAAAGATGTTAATTTCAAATATCTAATTTTCTAGCAACTGAGATCAATGATGAGTTCCCAGAATGGAACCATCCATTGAGGAGACCAATCAGCACCCTTAAAATTGTGTGAATTGTGTATGCCGTCATTTCAGCAAAGAACTCATCCTGAGAACTGATAAATTGGACTCCAGCAAATATTGTTCTGGGTATAAGTACAGTAATCCTCAGGATTGTCAATACCAGAGCAACATGTAGAAAGCTGGTAATTCATGTTTACTGACAATGTTTTCTTTTAGATCAGTTAGCTAAGATGTCTGTCACTGCCCATGAGTTTGTATATATACTAACCATTGGCCACTTCTCTTTCCACTCTGTGTAAAACTTTGCCCATATCAGTGATCTTTCCAAATTGCTGTCTTTCAAAGCTATCCTTGTGTGGGGATGTTTTGGAACAGTTGTGTTTTGGCTTATCCACATACTAAGCCATCCTTTCCTTTTCAGTCAGCTGAGAGCCCCTATGGGATCACAAAAGGAGTGATGTTAGGGAGAGGCATGGGTGAAAGAGAGGTGGATAATATGAAGGTCTGAGTCACCAACTTGTACCTCTTATCTGTCCTGTCCAGTCCTGTTCATGCCCAATCCTCCACTTCCATCTTTCTATGGATTGTTGCTCAGCTTGCTAGATATTCTGACTTGATAAGTATGTTAGAATCCAGTTAATGATGGGCAGTTGTGGCCTTATGGTCACTTCATAACCATAGCCAAATCCTTCATCTTTATTGGAGCCCAATATTATTGCAGAAACTATTTTTCAACTGATGTATGATTTTTCACCGACAATGGCAAATTCTTGCACTAAAATCCAAATAGTGTACATAGTGCTTCTCCTATTGGGGTTTATCTTAACTTCACATGCCATCTTTTCTTCCCACAAATATCATCAATGTTACATTTTCTTGATCATATAACCCAAACAGCAGGGCCTCCTGAACTGCAACCTGGACATGCTTCATAACCCTTTTCCACTCTTGTCCCTACTCAAATTCGGCAGCTTTCCATGCCATTTAATATATCAGAGGTATTGGTAAATCCAGGAGTTGAGTATGTTGCCTTTGGAACCCAGTGAAACCCACTGGGCATTATATGCTTCCTTCTTCATGGAAAGTAATGTGAGATGCAATGACGAGTCTTTTGCTTTCAAGAGTATGTCATAGAATGTCTCAGACCAATTGACCCCTAAATAGTTTACTAACATGGTGAGCCACTTAAGCTTAATAGAATTAATCTCCCACCCTCTAAGGCATATATGTCTCAACAATGGCCTCAGCTTATTGGCTACTTCTTGATCACCTGGTTCAATTAGCATAGTGACATCAATATAGGCACCAGTGTCATGTTGTCTGAGATGCCCAAACAGCCCACATCACTTCAGACTATTATGACAGTAGGTGGGAGAGTTAATATAGCCCTGGGGCCTGTAAGGCCATAAATGTATATTCTTCTCTTCTAGGTGAATATGAACTGCTTCTGATCTCTTTATGGATAAGATGGAAAAGAAGCATTCATTTGTTCAATGGCCACATACCATGTTCCTGAGGTCATGTTAATCTGTTCTAGTATAAGTATTATATTTTGTCAGTATTGAGTTTACAATAGTCCATTGATTTACAGTAGTCTACTGTTTTCCTTCAGAGTTCATCTAGATTTTAAATGATCCATACTAGAAAAATAAATGGGAACATGAGGGGTTCTACTACCCCTGTATCCTTTTGTTTTATACCTTTATGTCCTTAGGATAAAATATTGTATGATTTCCCATTCCTCTAAGATGAGAGCCTCTTTACATGCTACTAAGCAGGGCTTCTGGCTTTTATACTCAGTATTTAATTGCTGATTAAACACTCCCTGCTTTTTATAGCTTTTTCCAAACCATTAATCATGCTTAGCGCCAGCCACCCAATTTCACTCTTCTTATAGTTATTATTATCCCTTCCCCTCTCCCTCACACCCACAAATTTCTCAAATACTTGATAGATTGCCCCTTGCATGGTAGCTAGATATTAAAGTGGTCTCCCAGCAAAACACCTATCTCAGTATTCACACCCTTGTGTAGTCCTTTTCCCTGGAATCTGGATTGGTCCTATGACTTGCTTTTGACGAATTAAATACAATGGGAGTGTTGCTACATAGTTTTAGATGTAAGGCTATAAGAAGATTTTTATCTTCTGCCTGGGCCTCTCAGAACACTAGCTCTTAGATCATTCTCTGATCCTAGACCTCATGTCACATGAAGCCCAAACCACAAGCAGAGACCACATTCCCTCAGAGACCACTTCAAAGCCCCACCTGAGCTCCCAGCCAACAGAGCATATCAACTGCCAGCCAGGTGAGTGAGCCACCTTAAACATCTAGCCCAACTGAACTGTCAGATGTTGGCAGTTGCAGTCAACACCAGAGAGCGACAGCATGGGAGCTCCTAAATTATAACTCTCCAGCTAAGCCCAGGCAACCAAAAAACCCTGTTTTAAAGCATAAAATTTGGGGTAGTTTGTTAAACAACAGTAACTAAAACAACTGGCATATTCTTCTTTATTCACTATTGATAAAAAATTTTAACTATTAAAGACTTACTTTGTGCAAGGAGGTATGCATGTTCCAGCTACCATCAGTGATGGAGTCGTCATCACTAGCCAATTGATATGTGATTCACTCCTGCATCTCATCTTAGTATCTGTACCATCACACCACTCTTGGTACCAGCTGATAAAGTTTGGGTTTTCCAGGAAGCAGGTTTTAAAGACACATATTAGAGTACATAGAATATATTAGGAGTTCTCTTAGGGATAAGAGATACAGAGAGAAAGGGAAAAGGAAGGAAGAGAAGATAACTAAGCAGAAATGTTGGGGGATGTTGTGGTCTCAACAAAGACCACAATTAAATTCATAGAAAGCTCTGAAGCTATGAAAGCTTTTCAGAGTTGTCACTTGTTGTGCAGAGTGGGTTAATCTTTATGTTCCTCCAGAGAGCAGTTAATGAAAGTAGGTTGCCCCTGGCAAAAGGGCATATGGAAATTGCCAAAGGAAATGTCCTGAGGACACTGACAGCTGAAGGCATTCAGTCACCAGAGCTCTGGCAGCTGGGAAATAAGTCCCAAAGGGAAGATCAGGTAGTTTCTTATAGCATCCCCAACACCAACCTTCTTTCTTCTTTGCCTATTAACTTTTAACCAATATTCAGATGTTACCTCAGGTGTATGTTCCATCAGCACAGATTTCTTCACTCTCACATAATGTACGTAGATATCTCCTCTACATGTTCCAAAGGCATCTTCTTCTTGTGTTACTATGGTGCTTATACATTTCTATTATAGTTGATTATTTTCTTGTCTTAGACTAGACCAGACTACAAGCTCTAAGAGAGAAGAGAATTTGTATATATTTTTATGTATAAACAATGATAATTACAATGCTGGAAATATAGTAATCCTTAAAAAATATGGATAGAGAAAATAGTCAAGCATTGCAAGTGCATAATGGTATGGCTATTTAACCACTGTTAAATCACAGATAACCATCTTCTCTCTGCCTCCCTCCCAGGCCGTATGACTTTGATTAAGCAGGTGCTAATTTAAAGGGTAGTGGATTTGCAGTTTCAGAGTGCTTACTTCAATGTAATCCCAGGGGTATGCTCACAGCTTTTCACTGTCTTTGAGTTTCCTGAATCCCTTTGCAACCCAGTGAAACCCAAATAATAAATGTTTCCTGAATCAGAGACTTTTAAAAAGTGGAATGTAGAGTGTAAAACAATCTCAAAAGAATCCAGCCTATAAGACTAATGTTTGATAAATGTACTAAGCAGGATAAGGTAAGCCTGTGATGAATGAAAATGATTACACTGTTATTATTACATTTATTTTTATAATTTGAAGACCATATGAACTTTTATTATTGAATATATGTTTATAAGTAATAAACATCATAAGTATAAAAGTAAGCAATTTAAAATATGCCCATACTACTACTCATCCACAGCTAGAAAAATAAATATTAATACATAAAGATGTAAATAGGTAGGTAGATATTATTTTAAATTAAAATATATTGAGTTCTTTAGGATGGCATCTTTTAATGCAAAAGCATATGTGATATGCTTAAGAGTATGCTCTTAGTCAATAAGAATCTGTTGAAAAATATTGAGTCAAAAAGTAATGTTATCAGATTCTGTTGACTGGAACTTTTAGTGATCTAGTTTATCTATTTTTGTTGCTGTTGTTGCTTGTGCTTTTGGTGTCATTCTAAGAATTCATTGATAAATCCAAGGTCATTAAGATTTACTCCTATTTTCTTCTAAGAGTTCTGTAGTTTTAGCTCTTAGATTTGAATCTTTGAGTTAATTTTTGTATATAATGTGAAGTGTGAGTCCAATTTTGTTTTTTTACACATGGTTAGTCAGTTATCCAAGCACTATTTGTTGAAAAAGCTATTCTTTCCCCCATCGAATAGTCTTGGCACATTTGCCAATAACTAATTGACCACAGACACGTGGGTTTATTTTAGACTCTAGATTCCATTCCACTGATCTAGCTGTGTATCCTCAAGCCATACCATACTTTCTCAATTGCTATTTAATTGCAGTAAGTTTGCAAATAATGAAGTATTATTTATTTATTATTATTTGTTATTAGTATAACAAAGTCCTCCAACTTTGTTCCTTTTCAAGTTTGTTGGGTTATTATGTGTTTCTTGGAATTTTAGATGAATGTGGAATCAACTTGTTAGTTTCTACAAAAATTCAGCTGGGATTCTGATAGGATTGTGTTGAATCTGTAAATCAATTGGGGAAGTATTGCCAACTTAAAAAAATTCAATCCATGAATATGAGGCTCTTTTTTTTAATTTTGATTATTTAATTTTTTAACACAGTTTCATAGTTTTCAAAGTATAAGTTTCATACTTCTTTTGCTAAATTTGTTTCTAAATACTTTATTATTCTTAATGATACTATAAGTGGAATTTTAAAGGACACTATAAAAAAATAAAAAGACAGCCCACAAATTGGGTGAAAATATTTGCAAATCTTATGAGGCACTTTTTTTTTTTCTTTTTGAGACAGTGTCTTGCTCTGTCACCCAGGCTGGAGTACAGGGGTGTAATCTTGGCTCACTGCAATGTCCACCTCATAGGTTCAAGCAATTCTCCTGCCTCAGTCTCTCAACTAACTGAGATTACAGGTGCACACCACCATGCCCTGCTAATTTTTGTATTTTTTGGTAGTGACAAGGTTTAGCCATGTTGACCAGGCTGGTCTTAAACTCCTCACCTCGAGTGATCCACCTGCTTTGGCCTCCCAAACACTGGGATTACAGGCATAAGCCACCACACCCGGCCTGATAAGGCACTTTTATCTAAAATAAATAGAAAACTATTGTAACTCAAAAATATAAATAACCCAATTAAAAATAAGCAAAGGACGTAAATAGATATTTCTCCAGAGAAGGTACATAAATGGCCAATATAGACATAAAAAGGTGCTCAACATCATTAGCAATGAGAAAAACACAAATAAAAACCACAATGAGATACCACATCATACTCAATAGGATGGCCATAATTTAAAAATCAGAAAATAACCAGTGTTGGTAAGGATGTGGAAAAAAATTGAAACCCTCACACACTAAGCGGGAATGCAACATGGGACAGCTGCTTAGGATAACGTTCTGGTAGTTCCTCAAAAGGCTGAATGTAGAGTTACCATATGACTCAGGAATTTCATTCCTAGGTAAATACCCAACAGAAGTGAAAACATGTCCACATAAAAACTTATATGCAAATATTTAGAAAAGCATTATTTAAAATAGTCAAAAGGTGGAGATATTTCATATGACCATCAACTGACAAATGGCTAAAGAAAATGTGTTACATCTATACAATAGACTATTATTCCACTTTTTAAATATTATTTTTATTATCAATAAAAAGGAAGTGTGACATGGCTGAATCTTGAAACATTATGCTAAGTAAGAGAAAACAGTCACAAGAGACCATATATGATATAATTCCATTTATATGAAATGTCTAGAGCAGACCAATCTACAAAGACAAAAATTAGATTAGTAGCTATCCCGGTTGGAAGATAGTGGTGGGAAGTGATAGATAATGGGCATGGGCATTTTTATGAGGTGATAAAAATGTGCTAAAATTGATTGTCACAATACTTGCAGAGAATTATGAATATACTAAAAATCATTCAATTGTACACTACAAATATGTAAATTTTGACATGTGAATGTTAATTACATTTCAGCACAGCCATTACTTAAAAAAAATTAGATGAAAAAAAATTAGGACTTCCACTTTCAGCTCCAACACATAAATAGCTTCTAAGTCATCACTACCACCCTCATAACAACAAAAAACTGAACAAACTGAAAACCAATGACTTTTCTCAATCATCAGAGAACTGGTATCACAGGGCAAACCACAACCCCCCAATCTTCAGAGAGAGGAGAATACCTCAAACCACAGTTAAAATCAGCTTCCTAGGAGCAGAGAAGTTCCTGAAGGCAGTAACTGATAGAAATAATTAAATGGTAATTTTGATAAATTGTTGAAGGGTGAGCATAGGCTAGCTTGAGAGTTAAAAATTCTGGGGATATTTTCCTTTGGAATTTGTAATTTTCAAGCTAGATTACACTCAGCCTTTAGCAATTCATCAAAATTACTATTTAAGTGTTTGTCTTTGTCTGTTCAAGCTGCTGTTACAACAAACTGCTATAAACTGTGTGGTTTGTAAACAACAGAAATTTATTTCTCACAGTTCCAGAGGCCAGAGAGTCCAATGTCAACGTGCTGGCATACATAGTTTCGGGCCCCCTTTCTGGTTCATAGACAGCCACCTTCTTGCTGAGTTCTCTTATGGCAAAAGGAGCGAGGGAGCTCTCTGGGGCATCTTTTTTAAGGGCAGTAATCCCATTTATAAAGGCTCTGAATGAAAGGACATATTCAGTCTATGTCAGTATTCCTATCAGTTACCGACTCTGGGAGGAGGAGGAAATGATGAGTTGCTAATCAATGGCTATGGTTTCAGTTATACAAGATAAATAGGTTCTAGAAATCTGCTGTAAAACATCATACCTACAGTTATCAAGACATATTGCACAATTAAACCTTTGTTAAAAGAATAGATCTAATGTTAAGTGCTCTAACCACAATAAGATAAAATTTAAAATTTGGCAAAGGTAAACTTTTAAAATACATTTATAGGTATGTCTTTCAGGTACATTTCTTATTCATGTCTTTTGTCCTAATTTTCATTGAAATTGTTGTCTTGTGCTCTTTATATATCAATACTATTAATTCCTATATCATAGGTGTTGTGAATATGTTTCCTAATTGATCATATGCTGTTAAACTTAAAAAAAAAAATCTAAGCAGTTCAGTCTTCGGTGGAATCTCCACGCTTTTGTGAATTTTAGCTCCAAGAACCCTACTAGGCCCTCAAAGTGAAAATACGAGAAAAAACACCCTCCTGTTTCAGGCAGGAGGAATGCAAAAGTAAGCATTTTGAAATATATTCAGAGGTTCTCCATAAGAAAGGCTTATCCTGTCAAAAACCGTTAAATACCAGAGCCAACACTAGCCTTCATGTCTAGAGAGGTTTAAAAAAAAAACAAAAAACAAAAACAGACTAAGAAATCTATTGGAGAGTTACAGCCCAGGGACTAAAGCCCAGTAAAAACTGACATAATCGTAAGATTATGGAATGTTTTCCCCTCCAAGATCACCACATCAGCAGGGCTTCAGTATAAGGATGGTAGATTAAAATCAAAAGACCTTAAAGACATATTTAAAATTTTTTTAAAATTTTTTAATTTAAAAATTCTTAGGAACACAAACAAAACAGGGAATGAAAGAAATAAGAAACTGAAGGAACCTAAATCCTCTCTCACATTCATCTATAGAAACATGAAAAAAGGGCAAGCTCCTGGGTAGATCAATATAAAGCTTCACACTGAAGGCATAGTTACCTCAGTTGCTATTATCTGATCCATAATGTCCAGCTTCCAACAAAAAATTACAAGGTATGTGAAAAGGCAAGAAAAACACAGTCTGAAGAGACAATACAAGCATCAAAACCAGACTCAGATATAACACAGATAGTATAATTATTAGAGAAGGTCTCTTTAAAAACTGTGATAAATACGTTAAGGACTCTAATGGAAAGATATGACAACATGAAAGAACAGATGAACAGAAAAAAAACCTCTTAAGAATCAAAAGGAAATGTAAAAAAGCAAAAGCAGCACACATATGTTTACTGCAGCATTGTTCACAATAGCAAAGACTTGGAACCACCCCAAATGCCTATCAATGATAGACTGGATAAAGAAAATGTGGCACATATACACCATG